TACACACATAGACTGCTGAGTTCTGACTGCATGTTGTGTTCAGCAGGAACGGCCTGAGGTCGGTCGATCTTTTGTTAATTTTAATTTCGATCTATGGAGTGATACGAATGCTACATATATAAGTTCTAGTTAAAACTGCTATCTATTAAAATATTGTGGATCAACTCAGGAATTATTCCCATGAATCTCAGCATTTGCACACTACAAAAAGATGGTGGACGGTGGGAGAAGGAGGATGAGCAGCCGCAGGATGGAGCCGTCGCCTGCCGCCCCGTCGCGTGAGGAGGAGGAGGAGGAGCAGGTGCCCCAGGAGGACGCCGAGGAGGCGCAGGAGGACGACGAGGAGGAGGCGACAGCAGGGGGTTCCGCTTCCTCTAGTTCATCGAGCGTCTACTTGCGAGGTCCCGCGAGCCTCCCTCAGCGACCGATACCTCGTGAGAGACGCCCGCTGATTCGACCCGAGAGGGAAAAGTAAGTAACTTTAGATGTTATCACTATTTTATATGATATGTTGAAAATAAAAATAGAAACTAAGAATTTTTCTTAATCACTTGGGCAGGAACTGGACGATTGTGGCGAGTGGAGGTGGTCACACACGCCAGGTCAATGGCATCCTCGATCTTCTGTGCAAGGAGCACTTCCCTGGCCTAGTTGAGTACGCCAGAGTGACGGGGCCGACCTACTCGTTTGACCACTACGCCGCCGCCCCCGATGCTGCAGATCGGGCCCCAAGGGTATTCAACAACAAGGCGGAGCGGGTAAAGCAAGAGCTCTGGGTAAGTCCTCCTCGCACTACATTGCTCAATACATCGCATTCATTGGACATTCTTGAAATAATGAATGGATACACCGTGTTTGTATGCAGGATTTCTTTAGATGCTAGGACGGACATGAGGTCAGGGCGGATGCGGTGGCTACCAAATGCTGCAAAAAACTCGTCGTGGACATGCATTACGAGGCGCGCATCCAGGCCGTCGTAACTTACTATGGGACCGTCCTTGAAATGAAGGTCACCAAAAGGGACGCAAGGAGCATGACGCTGACCCAGGACCAGTACCTGTAGGTAAATACAGAACATTAATACTAATTCCTTTTGAGATTAAGTAGGCTTAATTTTATCTTCTGATATGGCATGTACTTGATGGCCTGTAGATGATTCCTTATTGGTGCGTCGCGCATCCCCAGTGCTGGGAACAGATGGTAGACAAGTGGTGCTCACGCGAGTGGGAGGAGACGCACAACTTGTGCCGGGAGCGGCGTTTGATGATGCCAGGTGTATCACACCATCAAGGCAGTCGCAGCCTTAGCGGATACGCAGAAACATGGGTACGCGAATTCATTTATTTATTCTAACGCTCAATTCTGCATGATTTCTAATCATCTTGCTGTTTTTCTCGCAGTCGGCGTCACATGGTGGCCAGCCTTGCTCCATCTTCAAGGCATTTGCTATGGCCCACAAGGGCAAGGCGACGTCTGACGTCGACTACAACCCGGAGGACAGGCCCGAGGCGTACAGCAATGCGACCATCCACAACCGCCTCAGTGAGTACACATCGATGGCAAGGGAGGTCCATGGGCCACAGTACGATCCGAGCACCGAGGACCTTGATGGAGAAGTCGTCATGAGGGTGGGAGGAGGCAAGAAGCATGGGCGGTACTGGATTGGCGACGGCGCAATCGACTCGGCCGCTACTCCTAGTCTCTCCCAGATTTGAGCAAGCAGCACGAGCAGGAGCCCGGCCATACGACCTCAGCAGAACACTTCACACCACCGGGTGGAGGCACTCGAGGTTATTCCTGGTTTATTCGTCATTCATTGGTTTTTTTCATACCTTTTCTTTGCATTATTGTAACATTGGGGTGAATATATTGTAGGCCCAGCTGGAACAAGAGAGGAGGATACGGGAGCAGATGCAGGCGAAGATGGAGAGGGTGGAGTCCGAGCGGGAGTCCGAGCGGGCCGAGCGGGAGGCCGAGCAGTAGAGGATGGCGGAGATTCTTCAGTACATGCAAAGTCTTGGCGCCGCTACGGGTGTACTTCCGCCACCTTCGCTATTCGCTCCACCTCCACCTCCACCTCCTCAAAATTCTACTCCTGTGAGTATAAATGTTTTAGTTTGTATGTTCATGCTTACGGTCAAACCTAGTGGAGTATGAAAGTTTTATTCATCTATGGTATATATTTATCTTTTCCTTTGTGCAGAATCAATCGGCGGCATCGAACGATCCTCATGCTTCAGCGAATCCTTCACCAAATCAGTGATGATACTTGTGGTTGTTAATGGTACTTCTATTTGCAATTGTGGTTGAAGATGATGGAGCACTTGGATTACTTGTGAACTTATTTGTGTTATATTGTGAGACATGTGACGTTTGTGATATATATGTGACATTTGTGATATATATGTGGTGTTGGTGATATATATGTAATGTTGGTTATATATATCTTCTGTTTGTTTGGATGAAATGTAAAAAACAAATAAAAAGACTGTTTTCAGTCACTTTGTCGAGTGTAATGGCCATGACACTCGGTAAAGTGACGACCTGGGAACATGCCTGGAAACATGCTTTGCCGAGTGCACAGGCCATTGCACTCGGCAAACATCACAGATTTGCCGAGTGCCACGGGCCAGACACTCGGCAAAGGTCGTCTGTTTGCCGAGTGTCTTGCCAGTGGCACTCGGCACAGTGGCCACCTTTGCCGAGTGTTTGAGTCAACGGCGCTCGGCAAAGAGGCGACCTTTACCGAGTGCTTGACCTTGACACTCGGTAAAGCCGCCGTCACGGTGACTTTTCTTTGCCGAGTGTCAGATTAGCACTCGGCAAAGGCTTTGTCGAGTGCCCGATAAAGTGCACTCGGCAAAGAGGTATTTACCGATCAACTGTTTACCGAGCGCCCTTTGCCGAGTGTAACACTCGGCAAAGGCTTTGCCGAGTGTATATCGGCCTGCCGAGTGCCTGAGGCACTCGGCAAAGAAGCCGCCTCCGGTAGTGCCTCCCCTCCCTCCTGGCGCCACCGACCCCTCCCCTCCCTCCCAGCGCCGCCATCTCCCTCCCTCTCCCCCCCCCCATCTCCCTCCATCTCCCTCTTTTTTTGCACAGGTGGTGGCGGCGGAGGCGGGCCGGGCGAGAAGCGGCGAGCGAGCCGGGCGGTGGTGGCGGCGGCGGGCGAGCCGCGTGGTAGTGGTGGCGAGCAGCGGCGGGACGAGCCGTGGGGTGGCGGCGGCGGCGGGTTTTTTTTTATATTTTTCAAAAAAAAAATTGCCGAGTGCCGGTGCCCAAAAAACACTCGGCAAAGTCTTTGCCGAGCACCCGATAAAAACACTCGGCAAAGAAACGTTTGCCGACTCTGTGTACGCCAAGTGTTGTTTGCTGAGTGTAGCACTCGGCAAAGACTTTGCCGCGTGTTTTTTGGGCTTCACCGTGTGCCGTGGGCACACGGCAAACTTCCTCATTCCGGTAGTGCATCTATTATCTATTGCGATGGTCCATCTCGTGGCAATATAAACTATCGCCACATCGATAGCCGTGGCTATGGCCTCTATTGCCACAATATCAGGCATGGCGTCTATTATCTATTGCAATGACCAATGTCGTGGCGATAGGCATATGTATCGCAACGAGAACATAGATCCGAGGCACAAACTTTAAACCACACCAATACTTGCCAAGCCTCCCAACGAATGTGATTTGGTAACAGAGAGTACATATTGCACCAATTTTAGCCTTATTGCAACATTTTGGCGTTGTTGTCCAAGGGTCCAAATTTAGTATAACCTTGTTTAGCCAAGCCAGGCTAAGCTTGCGCTGCTAGACTCTCCTAGAAGCATGCTCCTAATCTCTCTCCCTTCCTCACTGTCCAAAGTGAAGGCTAGGGTGAAGTCCCGGCTCTTGGCATGAACAATGCAATGACAAGGCCTCAGATGGTGCGGCCGCACGAACGCATCATGCTGCACGATTCAACACCTTAGTGGTCCCCTAGCGACCCAGATCAATATGCTCAGAGCAGCCCGGATGGTGGTCCAGATTTGGCCCCCTAGTGGTGACGCCCTACATAAAGGCTCATTTTTTTTTTATTAACAGAGGAAGGTGTATTCACCCCCTCATACATCTGCCATTAATAGAGGCTTCCTAGCAAAGACGAACGAGGTGCTCGCCTCTATTAATGTTTTTTGGTCGACTATGAAAATAGTTAGTGTAGTAGTCTAGGTGTGACTATCGAGTTAGGCCTCTACCTGACAGTGGGCCGGTATGTTGTACTCATTGCCACTTTAGTGACTTCAGTGATTATATGAAAGACATAGTCAGAACAGTTAGAGAGTGATTGGTGCTTATTTAGGTCTTAGTACTTGACACAAACAAAGCATTTGAGGTCTTTGTGATATATATTCCAATAAAGGTCTTGGTGGCCTTATGATGTCAATCCACCGAGCTTGGTATGGAGCGATAGTGACATGGTGAGTAGAGTACAAAAAGATCCCTTCCTTGGTGGACAAATTCCATAGCGAAGACGATGCCAAAATGACTAGAAAAGTCAGACGACGGTGTTGGATCCTAGGTGTCTTATGGTATTTGCCTTGGTTGGTAGGAACCTCGGTGGCGAGGTCAACACCATGACCGAGGGAAGACTTGTTGACTGGGGGATATACCTTGGTGCAGTTCCAATGTAAACTAGGTCTTATGTTTTGGCACAGATACTAGGGATAAATTGCCTCATCTCAGGGAGTTTATTACCCTCCCTAACTCTATGCATAATTTGCGTGATCTTTACCTTCCTAGATTAGCTTAGAATACATAATAGATTGACTGTATGTTGATAAACCCTTTATATGGGTTATAAAGGGCAAGTTGGAGAACACTAGAAAAAGCCATAGGTGTATATTTTGTTAGAATTAGTTTATGTTTTTTTTCTAAAACCATGTGTATTTTGCTAGAACTAGTTTATGGGTTTTTAATGGTAGTTTTATTTGTACCACAGAATTAAGGTTTTTAACTTTTAATCAGTCAACAAATTCACTTCTCTTAGACATTGGAGACCTTTGAGGCACACGTCTAGAGCCTCCGGAGCTGATGGCGGAGGTGCGGCGCGCGAGCCTTGTCCTCCTCTCCTCAGAGAGCTGCCGAGCGATCCCAGCGAGCGCATCAGCGTTGCTTCCTTCCCCAGGCACCGGTTCGTACCTCCCGGTCTCCACGTTGACCCTGGACACCCGCTGCGCCAGCATCCGCTCCCCGATCCCGACGAGCGTCCTCATGTTCTCCGGCGTCGCGGCGTCCACGGTGGCCGCGGCGCCACGGAGCGAGTTGTCCTGGATGCGCAGGTAGTCGCCGTCGCTGTGGAGCGACTGGAACAGCGCGGCGACGTGGATGTCCACCAGGTCCGAGCTGGCCGCCATGAAGATGTCGATGATGGGGGCCATGCCGTTGTTGCGGATCCACCGGCAGATGCCCCACCGCGAGCACTGCCGCGCCGTGTAGAGGCCCTGGTCCGACGTCGACCCCGTCCCGATGGACAGCACCAGGAACTTGCGGCACTCCGACGGCTTCACTGGGTACAGCTCCTCGGCCTTGTCCTTGCTGGCAAGCATCTTCTTGGTGATCTGCGTCATCGCAACCATCGTCTACACGCATTTGCAATCGGGCGACGTGCCTAAGCAACAATTAGCATCGATCTTCTGGGCGATGGATATGGACTTTGCGTTCGTTCGTTTCTCAGTTAGTTAATTACCGGATTGTTGGCGGCTACACCGCCGTCGATGAGGTTGTATTCGCGTTCCTTGCCACTGCCGGCGTCTTTGGTCTGGAAGTAGTGCGCCGGGAGGTAGGTCGGCGCGGCGGACGTGCCGATGCACACGTCCGAGAGCAGCGCGTTCTTCAGAGGCATGCTCTTGGCCTGCAAATCAGCGCAGCATGCATGTCAGCGCGCGCACAGCGTAGGCAGCCATGTGCATGCAACGTACAGCTAAATTGTTCGTGACGACGACGTACGTACGTCGTAGGTGGAGAAGATGATAGGCTGCAGCAGCCTGACGTCGAAGGTAGGGATGATGACGTTGGTTAGCGTGTCGCTCACCCTCGTCTCGCCCAGCATGCTCCTGATCAGGCTGCGCAGGCACTTGCCGTTGTACCTTGGCCTCCTCAGCGCGGACATCGCGGCTGCAAGCCTGCTCCTATTGACATGCATGCCACAACATGATATGTATAGATGTGTAGAGGACGATGATCGATCAATGCAAGAATGGCGGCCAGCCGGACCCACTTTTGAGGGAAGATGCGCGGGCAATTCTCCATGTAGAATTGGTTGATGTCCTTGGCAGCGTAGAGAGGCCGCTTGTCCTTGCCGGGCGCGGTGAGCATGGCGGTGATGAGCCCGCCGGTGCTCGTCCCGGCGATGTAGTCGAAGTAGTCCGCGAGCCTCGCCTCCGGTCCGTCCAGCTCCTGCAGCCTGGCCTCGAGGAACGCAAGGATGGTTCCGGGGATGAGGCCCCGGATGCCGCCGCCGTCCACCGTCAGCACCGTCACCCTTTGCCCCAGCACGACGGGCTCGCCGACCACGCTCCCGGCCATCGCCTTCGTGCTGCAGGCGTTGCATGGACGCCGCGAAGAGTAGCTCGCCATTGGCTTCGTTCTAGCACACTCGATTGTTTAATGTGACTAGCTACTCGTCGAGGCCACGAATGAAAGAGTTAGATGATCGTCGAGTATTGCTTGGAACGCGATTTTCAATCGATTGCGGGTGCAACTAGTGATGAGCTGAGGAGAAGGCGACGATAGATGGCTTGTATATATAGGCACTGGGTACGTGCTGCCCCATTTTTGGAGTGACACACAGGAACTGGCGCATACTGTTGCATGCAACCACTACTAAAACGGTGCTTCACTAGGGGTTGTCCACTTTTTTATGATTCATTTTGCTAAATAAGGAGATATGAAAAATTCAACGCAGAGAAAGATTTTTTTTTTCAATACATGTTATTTTGGAGCCGTACATATACTATTTATGAAGAAAAAAAATCATGCAGAGTCTAATTACAAGAAACCCTAAGCACGTGTTTGTTTGTCTTGACAGTGGCCATAACCTGGCTAAGTTGCGGCAACTAGACATGTTTGTTTATCTGGACACACTGCAAACATGGGTTGCACAGTGCTTAAAGCATCGTGAAGCCTAGCTGCGGGCAAAAGACGCAGCTCGCTCCAGCTCCGGCGCTGGTTCAGTGCGGGCGGGGGTGGCTCGTGGGAGTGGCTGAAGTGTGGGCCCCACAACACTTCCAAGCAAACAAACAGCTGTATAAATCCAGGTGTAACAGATACAAATCCACCGAACAAGAGAAGTTGCACCAGTCTTATCTGTCTGGGAATGCCCTGGCTTTACTCATCCATACTGGCAAGTCCAGTCCAAGCAAACAAACACGCCCTGAAGCACTTGATTCAATGTTGTTGGTATATATATATATATATATATATATATATATATATATATATATATATATATATATATATATATATATATATATATATATATATATATATATATATATATATATATATATATATATATATATACCCTATGGTGCAAGATGTAGCTTTTCCAAAAACACCTCTTGAGAAGCTTGGGAGGCTACTCTAAAGGAGCTTTTCTACTTTTAGTACAAAGTGCAACTTTTTTACGATGAAAGAAGAATTATATTATATAATAGCTGGGTACATCAACACGTTATAAGCACTACTCTAGATTACACAAACATGTACGACGTTTTGCAGTATGGATGACCGCACGGGCAAACACTCGGCAAAAGCCCTAAGAACAGATGCCCAACGAACGACGACCAACATTCATGTAGCGGAGTTGAGAAACTTCTTCTTTTTGGTGTCTTCTCTCTTCTTCTTTTCTGCCACCGAAGAATGAGAAAGACTGATCTGAAATTTATTCTCCCTAGTCCTTCGTCGTGGCCAGATCTAACCACAATAAAAACGGAGAAGAGACCGGAGAAAATTATTCCATAGCAGTGACACCATCTCCGTCTTGATGTCGCCGTCCGGAAATAAGTCTCCATGTCATCATGCCGGTGAGGGTGCTGACGCCGTAATTGTTGCCCCCATCTTCTCAACAGAGCCGTCATGGAGAAAACGATTACACCCTGCCATCTCGCCGTCGCCGGAGAGGAGGATATAAATCCTCAAAACCAAAAAACTTGGCATTGAGAGACTCTAACCTTAAGGACTCGATCTACTGGAAAAACTTATTAAAACGATGGATCCCCACTCCCTCTGGCACAGGCGATATGTCGGAGGGGGGAGAGAGGGGGACCAGCAGGGGGCGGCTGCGGCGGCGCTCTTATTCGCGAGTCACGTGGGGTTGCGTGAGGCGTGAGAATTCCAGGGATCGAAGCGTCGCAATACAAAGTGTAGCTTTTGTCAGCTCAAAAAACTACCCTGTTTGAGACAACTTCTAGCTTTTGGAGCTTTGGAGAAGAAAAAGCGGCCAGAAGCTCCCAAACAGGACCATCGTTGACGAAGTAATTCATGTGACGAGCACGTTACAGGGAAGGGCTAGCGTTTGGTCCTCATGCTGCCCTGAGCTTCTTTGATCAGTATGTTCTTTAGGGTAACTAAATCATTGTCTCGTCTGGCTATTGGATTTGTTGACCTAGATCAGGCCAGGGCATGGTGATAGGAAATAAGCCCCTAAATACTCGATCTTTTTAATCCATGTTCGATACAATTTCTACATATTGAAGTCGTCTTTGTGTAGCTTTCTTGGGAAAGGGCATGCATGCATTGATGCATCAACATTCAGTTTGATCTTCTGGAACGTGTACAATCTGGTAAACGAGAAATGGTGGGTGCAGTGGTGGCTGAAGGACCGTAGGGCGGACCCAGCGCTAGGGCAGCCCAGGCCATGGCCTTAGTCGTGGCCCATGTAACAAGGGAGTAGGTCTTTTTTTTTTTTTTGCTCATCAAGCAGTTCAACACAAGCAGCCCATGTAAGGAGTAGGGCTACAGAGCCGCTCGGCGCTTGCCTTGCTTGCTTGGTCGCTCCATCGCTCGCGTCGCGAGACTCGCGATCGCCGCGATCGCCGCCGTCGCCCACGCTGCACCACGCCGTGCCTCGCCGGCTCGCCCCCTCTGGCCCTCCGCTCTGCGCTCCGCGGCGGCGCGGCTCCTTCCTCAGCCAGGTGTCAGCCGACGGCCACACGCCTGCTGCCCGCTGCGGCTCCTTCCTTCCTTGCAGGCGAGCAGAGGAACTGAGCGCTTCCCTTGTTAGGTTTGGATCTGAAACTTATTTCGATTCCAAATTCCTAAGTTCCAATTTCCCAATATACAAGATGGTTCAAACTAAAAGGCACACAACCTTCTTGGCCGCTAAATTTTGCAGCGTGGATAACTCACGAACGCTGATCCATGGAACGAGCGAACACTTTTTCGACAGGCGGCACCTTCCTTTTTCAGAAAAGAATAATTTACACATGGACCTTAATTGAATAGTGGCAGGTATACTTCATTCTCTTTTCCCGTGCTCAATTTCAACTGTGTGTTGGGCTCACACAAAACATTTATTTTAAAATGTTATAACTTATGAACCGTGTATCCATTTTTGATTCCGTCTGCACCAGTGCATCGCGACGAGACAAACAAAACCAGACCCTACTTGCATATGCTTCGAAGAATTTTTTTCTAATAGCAAACTAACTTAAAACACATAACTTATCACATATAACTTATAACCAAAACTTAGAAACATAAAAAGTTATAAAACACAACTTATCTAAAAAAAAGTTATCAAACGCAACTTATATACATAAGTTATTCTATATAACTTAAATATACAAATTAGTATCATAACATATTAGCAGATATGTTGATAGCATGCATAAAAGAAAAATTGATAGATTAATATAAAAATTCAAAAGAGGAAAAAAGGACAAAATAAAAAAAGTTGTGTTTCATAAGTTTTGTGTTTCTAAGTTTTGCCATAAGTTATAAGTTATAAGGTATAAATTAATGTTATAAGTTATATGGTGATAAGTTTTGCTCTGCAAAATGTTATATTGTCTAAGTTATGAGTATAAGTTATAAAAATAAGTTACGTAACGTAACATATATGTATAACTTATATTGGAAGCTATAAGTTCTATGTTATAAGTTAATATACATAAATTGCTACTAGAAAAAAAATCTTTGAAACATATGTAAGTGGGGTTTAGTTTTGTTCATCTCGTCGCATAGAACACACCGGTATAGATAAAATTAAAAATAGATATACCGTTTAGAAGTTATAGCATTTTAAAATAAATGATTCGCTTTTTTAAAAAGTGACGTGAGGCACTTGAAACCGTATGGGGCAGGTGCAGACGTCCCGCGTGCAGGCCCGGTGGGATCGTTCGCTGACAAAAAAAAAAACAGTGAACAATCGCCAGAATGAATTTGGGTAAATTTTAGCCCTAGTCTTTGCCAAATCCTGGGTACCCAGTGATTGTAGAAGGTCATTTAATGAATCTGTATGTGTCTAGAAGTGGTGGAGTTGGCGTCTAATATTAACCTGAGAAAATTCCATATATTTGACAACGAAAGAAGATGTGCTTCCTTTCTTAGACCTTGAAATTATCTTTATTTGGTGCCTTTTTCTGACACTTCCGTTAGTTTGCACCTCTACCAACGTTAAATGGACAATAAAAAGACTAGTTTGTCCCCGTTAAAGTTTTTATCTGTTTTTTCCTTTGCCTGGTTCGATTCTTCCACTCTTTTTTGTTGTTTTTTTTTTCTTCCCTTACGTGTTCATTTTTTTCTCGTTCTTTCTCCTTTTTGGCTTGGATATTTTTTTCTTCTTTTTTTCTTGTTTAAATGTAAACGTACCGACATAGTTCACCACTCCAGCCAAGTTTTTTCCTGACGGCCTGTTCCGTCAGGAAAAGTGCCAAACACCGTCAGGAAAGATCAACAGCGTCGGTCGTTTTTCCTGACGGCCGACAACCGTCAGGGATAGTTTTCAACTTTCCCCGTCGGCAGCTGAACTGTCAGCGAAATTTCAAACTTTCACTGTCAGTTTCTGAACCGTCAGGGATAGGTTCAACTTTCCCGTCGGTTGCCTAACCGTCAGGCATGAAATATCTTTCCCGTCGGTTGCCCAACCGTCAGGCCTGAGATAATTCCTGACGGTTCACCTGCGTCAGGGGAAACATTTCCAGTCAATTGGCTGTCCAAAATCACTGATTATTTAGCCATTATAAGACCACTGTTCACAGCAAGTAATTAGCAATTAAAAAACAATATTACAGCAACTGATGTAACCATTCATCCACACTGAAGTAATAAATATTACATTCAATAATCTTAGAACATCATTCAAGTTGTTCAGGAATACAAAGGCATATAATAATTGGTGCCTCCTAGTCAGCCTTCTAGTTAGGTACCTAACAGGGAGCACAAGTTAAAAGTGCTAACTCACAACTAGGTGCTATCTATCTCCCAACACAACTATAGGTAGCTAGCTGCTATCTCATGACAGTATGCAGCCACTTCTGCACAAGATAGCCAAAAAAACAACATTCCTTGACCCAGGAAGTCTACGAGTAGCAAGCTGCTCTTTGATGGCAGTATGCACCCACTTCTGCACAAGCACTCGTGCAGTGAATAGGCAACATGTAGCTGCTGCTACTCAACTAGCACGCATGCCTTGAAGCACGATGGAATCCGCATATGTTGCTTCATAAACTAGATATGCAGCAGCTCATGCACAACCAAAATACCTCCCTTGCACAAAATACCCAGCATGACACATGCATGGCCTTTGAACTTGCTGGTTGTTGCCATCAGCCGTAGTAGATAAACAAATGGCTACGGCTTCACAAAATACTTCCTGCCACCGCACAACTCAATGGCCATCGCTGTTGTCCCTGCCCATGTTGGCTGAAGCACGAGATGATCCATCTATAGTCCCTCCCTACAACCAAAACAAATAAATAGGATCATGGGTTCACTTAAAGGTATATGTGAGAGTATGCTAAAGATCAAGAAGCCTAACCTTACTGAAACTAGACATTACAAGTGGAAAACAATGTCAATCAGAATATGCTAGCCTTTTCTCACTAATATTGAGAATAATCAATATTTCACCCTGTAATTTGGCTAGCTTTCTACAATAAAGACAATGTGTACATTACATTATAAAATGCAACTACGCACAACTTTAATGACTTGTCCAGCACAGTAGCAGAAGAGCTATTCAGATGCTCCAAATATAAATATAAATGCGCCAGGAGAACAAGTATGATGGTAGCTAAGACCAAGAACATAAACAAATCCCAGAACATGTGTTGATTATAGAACAGAAATAATAAATTTCTTATTTCTGAAGCAGCTGGTACACAAGCAGCTGCAGGAGAACAAGTACAAATATAAATGCGCTAGGAGAACAAGTATGATGGCAGCTAGTGCACAAGCAGCTGCAGGTGAAGATAATGTTAATCTTACCATGTCATTTTCTTCTTCCTGAAGCAGGTCTGGTGGTATCTCTATTTGTACTTTGTTAATAATGAGCTGCACGTGAAGATACATAATCAATGTTTATGAACCTTGAACTGTAGATAGATAGTGCACCAAAACAAAAATGTACCTCAAGTACACGACCATTACGCTTCACATCTCAAGTCAATGCAGCATTCTATTGAACCAAGGCATTGTTTTGTTCAGTTAAGCGACCAACGTTGGCAAGTGATTCCTCATATCTTGCCAACAGATTTTGAAAAGCCCTTGAGGTTGCTGGCCTTGTTCCACTTGCCTTGGCAGCATCAATTATTGTAGCCTTGTTGACAGCACCATTTCCTATTGCAAGACGACCATGCGGCAAGCCACCACAATATTATATGCAATTTGACCATCAAAAGGTTGCTCTTGCCAGTTCTCTAGATACTTTTCTTGCAATGCTTCATTGTAGTCATCCTAGAAATAACAGAAATTATTAGTCAGAAACTACAAATGGAAAAGCATGAAACTAGATAGAAAGTTCTTCTACATACAACAAGTTTCTTTGCCCGTTCTGGAATTGGGCCAGCATTCCCATTGGCATCACAATTCTTAAGGCCAGCTTTCATGCAGGAAAAAGCATTTATTATAGTGCCCTTCCCAGGTCCATGCTTAGCTTCCTTCAAGGCATAAAAGTGACCAATGTTAATGCGTATGAAAATTTCAAAGTTATTCAGAAATGTATGGTGATAAATGAGATTACCAGATATTGTTGAGTCTCAACTAGTGGCCTAGAACCTCCCCTGTTTTGAGCGCCATCAGGATTTTTTTCCCGAGATTCTTGCCCAAGACTCCTTTTCTTCAAGTATTCAGCAGAGCACCAATACTTACAAAGGGACTCCTAGGCTTCTTCGGTGAACCATTCAGGCTTGCATTGCATGTACTCTTCAAAAGTAGTTTGGCACTGGCAAATGCATGTCTTTGGGCTCTTTATGATTTCGCGATAGTAGAGAGCAAGGTTTGCTCATGTACTTGCTCATCTGCACTAACAACCATTCTATAGAAGGCTTCAGCAAAACCAGTTGGTGTTTCATCAACTAATGATGGGAGCTCACCAGCTAAGTCAACTAGCATAGCATCCATCCGATCTATCTCACCAAATCCCTCATGTTCTACCCCAGAACCAATCTCAAGGTTGTGATTTCCCTGCCTCTCCCCATGTGCTGTCCAAGTTTGGTAATTTTCCTTGAACCCATTGTGGCACAAATGTTGCTCTATCCTAGGCCTTTTATGCCTGAAATAATTCCAGCACATGGAACAAGGGCACTTAATTGTATCAGACTCAACTAATTCAGGAATTGAGAAGGCATGATCCAAAAACTCTTTTGTTTTATCAACCCATTCATTTGATAGCCTACCACGCTTCCAACCACTATACATCCACTCACGATCTGCCATATCTTATCTGCCAGCTTGTATAAGATGAGAACTAACCATCGGCTAGCCGAGTCACAGTAGTTGTCCAAGACTTCGAGGTCAGTTCACAAACCACAGAGAACCGAGTAAAGCAGCAACAGCCAACCAGATCACAGTGAGAAACCTGTTACAAATTTAGACATATCACAAATTGCTTCAGTCAAACAAAATAAAAATTCACATACAGCTAGTAATAGAACATTAAAAGACATAATAACAAATTTCCTATAAGCTAGCACACCATAACCAGTGAATCAGAATGCAAAATAGAGCATCTATAGCAAAATTAGTCACTGGAAACTTGTGTTATGTCTAAATTTGTGCAAAATAGAGCAGCAAAATTCATTGACAAGTGACTTAGTCCGTATATATTGAGCAGTAAAAAATAGTCACTAGACATCAATCAAAAGCACATCTAGATGCAAGCTTTGAAAGAATTGGAAGCAAAATCTTCAGGTCGTTACTACAACCAAGCTTTGATAGTGCAATATTGGTGCAGGGATCAAAACAGCTAGCAAGGAGATAGCAGTTAATTCACCACAACTAGTCTAGCACAGATCAAGAATATATATGCTACACGGTGGCCGTGGTCTGACCTTGCTGTCCGTCAGTGAGAGCCAAATTGTTCTGCCAGAGTTGGTGGTTCAGAAGCTAGAGTTGCTCCGGCTCAGCTCTTCAGGTGCTGCAACATGAAAGAAGCCCCCCACGACATTCAAATGCCACAGCAGGCAAAATCGAGTCAGATGAGCGCATCAATCAACAAGGGCAAGAAGAAAATACAAGACCCAAAATTGTTTGGGGATCTGAAGATGGGGAAAAATCTAAATTGCAATAGGAAAAGAAAAGATGGAGCACCGTACGGAGGTAGAGGGGGCTGCTGTCCTTCAGGTCGGCGTGCGGCGGCGCTGTTGCCTGTTGTTGAGGGACGGCCGGCAACGTCGTAGTCGATTGGGACGACACCGTGGTGGCTCGGGGCGACGGGAGGGGCTGGTGGTGGCTGCGTGCAGGCCGCAGCCGGCGGCGGCGGTGGCTGGCTGCGGCGTCGCGTCGGGCGCCGGCCGCGGCGCAGCGGGAAAAGCTGCGGGCGGCGGGCGGCTGCTGTGGCTGGGGCGTGCCACGGTGGCCGGCTGCTGTGGCTCGGGGCGCGCTGCGGCGGGTGGATGCGCGCGGCCCTAGCTCGCGGGCACCTGGGCGACGGACGGGATCTGGAGGCGGGGTGGAGTGGATAGGGATGGCAGATTTTTTGGAGGATAGAGATGGGGTTCAGGACGGTTGGGCTGGTCAAGGCGCTGGACTCGTAGGCGCGCGTCTCTTTTGGGTGGGACCAGCAGCGCGCGAGATCTTCGTTCCTGCGCGCCAAAAGCTTAGACGAGCGCGGGAGAGCCTGGATTGTGCGCGTGGGAGGCCCGAAAATCGCTCCGTGACGGAAGGCACCGACGGGCCACGGGAGAGACTTTTCGGCACGGTCCAGCGGCAACGCGGGGGAAATTTTTTTATTTTTAACATTTTTTTTTTAAACTAATTTTAAATCTAACACTTTTGACCACGCCTATTTTACTGGCGCGACGAAACGTCTGTGCCGCGTCATGTATGATGACGCGGCGAGAGGATTGACGTGTCGACGACTGGGGCGCTGACCGGTGACGTAGCAGGGTCTGTCGCGCCACTGATCTTGACATGGCAGTGACGCACTACGGCGCATGACGCGGTAAGAAAGGGATGATTTGACGGGTTTGCAATAATGCTGCTTCTATTGCCACCAGCACTAGCACTAGCACTAGGGAGCCGCCCGGGACTGATGTGACTTTTTGCATAAGCAGTCAAAGAGCAACGCGTTGGAAGCAAACGTGTCTATAGTAAAGGTCTTTTCTCTAGGCGTGTGACGTCTATCCTACCATTACACAGAGAAAAAAAAATTGACGTGACCTTGATATGACCCTACAAGAAAAAAATGCATACTTAAACCTTGGGTTGGCAAACACAATTAGCCTGTTTGTTTGGCTATGGCTTGTCGTAAATGATCGTAAATTTCCAACCGGAACAGTATTTTTCTCTCACACAAACCAGCTAGCAGTACTTCTTCACGAACCAGCAACGATATGAACCAGCCAACCGAACAGGCTGACAATAGCTTGAGTGCATCTAAGGGGGTGTTTGGATCCCGTGACTAAAATTTGGAAGGTGTCGCGTGAGGGTGTCGCATGGAGTGTTCGGATACTAATAAAAAAACAAATTACAAAATTTGACAGTACTCCACGAGACGAATTTATTAAGCCTAATTAATCCGTCATTAGCATATGTTTATTGTAGCACCACATTGTCAAATCATGGACTAATTAGACTTAAAAGATTCATCTCGCGAATTAGTCGCAAACTATGCAATTAGTTTCGTAATTAGTCTATATTTAATACTCCATGCATATGTCCAAATATCCGATGGAACAGCGACTAAGTTTAAGAGAAGCAACCAAACACCCCCTAATCCTACATGGATGATTACTTTTACGTGAGGCAGTCAATATTATATGCCTTCATTGAGCTTGCCCTAATGGATCAACGGATCACAGTGCTTGAGTGCTACGGAGTACACAAGTGATTGAGAGGGTGTACACACGCAAAGAAGAGATTGAGGGGTTCTCCAGTAGGCTTATCGCAGTAGCCTAGCCCGACAAACCCGACCAAGCTCGAAAATACCAAACCCAACGGCCCGTGCATCTTTTTTGGATTTTGGACCGGGTCGGGCTGAGCTGAAAAAAATGGGAGTTGTTTTTGACCTAGAAAAATCCTGTCCACGACCATCTTACGGGTAAAGTTGGTTAGGCTCAGACTGCCCACACATTTTCTACAGTGGAAAAACTATAATATAGCGAATGAGCATATGGTCTAGTGGTAGGATAGTCTAATGGGATGCTACCCACCAGGGTTAAAACCCAGGTGTTCGTACCTTTTTTCTAAAAATTTTCTAAAAAAATTAGGGTACACGCACGCGTGTGCGTTCGGTGAACCCACGCGTTTTTTGCGCACTAGAGGCTGAAGAGCCCCTCAATCTCTTCTTTGCGTGTGTACACCCTCTCAATCACTTGTGTACTCCATAGCACTCAAGCACTGTGATCCATTGATCCATTAGGGCAAGCGCAATGGAGGCATACAGTATTGACTGTCTCACATAAAAATTATCATCCACGTAGGATTAGATGCACTTAAGCTATTGTGTTTGCTAATCCAAAGTTTAAGTATGCAGCTTTTTTTTGTAGGGTCATATCAAAGTCACTTCAATTTTTTTGTCTTTCTGCAGTGGTAGGATAGATGTCACACGCCTAGAGAAAAGGCATTTATGAGAGACACATTTGCTTCCAACGCGTTGCTCTTTGACTGCTTCTGCGAAAAGTCACATCAGTCATGGGCGGCTCCCTAGTGCTAGTGCTAGTGCTAGTGCTAGTGCTGATGGTAATAGAAGCAATATTATTGCAACCCGTCGAATCATCCCCTCCTTGCCGCGCCATGTGCCGTGGGGCGTCATTGCCGCGCCAAGATCGGTGGCGCGGCAGACCCTGCCACGTCACCAGTCAGCGCCCCGATCGTCGCCACGTCAAACCTCTCGCCACGCCACCATGTATGGCGCGGCAAGGACGTTTCGCCGCGCCAGAGAAATAGGTGCGGCCAAAAGTGTTAGTTTTTTAAAAAAAATAAACAGGGTTAGATTTAAAATTAGTTTAAAAAGTGTTAAAATAAAAAAAACACGCGGGGATACTTCTGCGCTATTGACGGAGGATGCGCCGCCGTAGGGAGTGCTCGAGGCCGACGGGAGAAAACTGATCTGGAGTGGTGGTTTTGTACACATTATTTAGAGATCTGTCCTTGTATAGTGATATGCTTGAGTTGGAAAATATTTTCATTGTTCTACTCCTGTAATTTTGCATGCTTGTTGCTAACATAGGCATAAGCAGACTTTTAAGATTGGGTCATTACAGGGATGGTCTGTTCGTCTAACCAGCAGCACACATAGTGTTGGTTATGCTCAGTCACACATTAAACAAAACGCTACGGATGAAATGCAAAATCAGGCACTACACTGCAAATTCACGCTGAAGAGAAAATAGGATCACATTATTATCTCTCACTATATTATGTAAACCTAAAGGGAAAAACCTGATCAAGTCATCATATAATGTTAGGGCTTAGGTAGTTAGGAGGATATGGGCTAGGTTAGCGTGGATTGCTAGGGTTAGCGACACATATGTGTACGCATACTTTACTTATATGCCTAGGGACATGTGTGTATATATTAGGCATGACCATGTGTACGTGTATATATATACTCAACAGGGTATGTCTATATGTGCAACCTATCATGTTATGCAAGGGACATGTGTGTATATATTCGAGTATTCAGGTACGTGTCATAGTGTACATGCATGCACAAATATACGGTGCTACGGAAGGGTTGGGTGGATGGCTACAACTATGGGTTTGCTCTATATAGGAAAAGGACGAACAAATTAAACACGAAGAAAAAACAAAATAAAATCAAACAAGAATTTAAATGGGAACAAAGGCCCTGCTCGGGTTTGGCTGAATTTGGCTAAAAACACTGCTACAGCTGAAATGTTGTGAGAGAAAGATATTGTTCCGATGAAAAAACAAGTTGAATAGTGCCGTTTTGGGTAAGCGAACGGGCCAAAAAAATATGGAAAGGATATGAGTGTGTAGGGCTTGGTTGTAGAGAATATTTGGTGCAAGAATCAAGAAACTCAGAGTTGGAATGAAGGAGATATGGACTTTAAAAGGTTTATCGATAAAAGGCGAAAGGATTTTGAAAAATATTTCGGAATTTCGGGAATGTAAATATGTGGGAAAAGAATAAGTACGCTCTAGACTGGGTATAGTATTTATTGGAGTTTTTTTTTGAATTTTCGGAAAGGAAGGGCTACACCGCTCCTCTGTACGCTTCCCTGCGCGTAGCAGCCTTCCTTTTACTTTGT